TCTAATATTTTCAGAGAAAGGGAAAAGAAAACATCTGAAAACAACTACGAGGAGAAGAATCAGTCATATTGATGATACTACGATCATCAAGTTTCAATATTCCATATATATCTCCATCGTCAAAGAAGTAGACAGCATTCTTCAAACACCCATGGAACTCAGAGGCTAAGACCGTAAAACAACTGTCTTCATCCACAATGAGTGCCTTGTCTTCCAAGGAACTAACCTCGACCCATTCCCCCAACTCCTCGTCCATCTTATACACCTTGAAATTATAGGTCCTATTATAGGTCTTATGGATACTATACCACTCTACGGTAACTTTCTTATAAAATCGATGAAGAATGCATAGATCTCCACAATATTCCACGAGTCTCTTGTCTTTGCAGTGATCAATCTCGTAGTATTCCTCCGTTGGAGTTGAAGGTCCGTATTGAGATATATTGAGATCAGATAAACTAATCCACCAAACTGCACCTTTTAAATCTAAAGCATAGACTTGTCCGTTGTGAAGAATAATGTCCAAGAATTCTCCAAAATCTTCGTTTTTGATTCTTGTCCATTGATTACTACTACCTTCTTCTCCACTCTTGCAACACCAGATTTTCTTGTTTTCGTCGATTAAGAAAACATGATTGTCTACGAAAACAACTCTAGACGAATCATACTCATGTGATATTTTATCCTCCTTGTCCAAGCATTGAAAGTTGTAAGATTGACTAATCTCTGAAACCCCGATGTTAAAAAGATCTAGGGTTTTGTAGGAATTGATTAGCTTGTTAGAGAAAGGAGACAAGAGATTAGTCTTACTTGATTCAGAGATTTGTCTGGTTTTGATCAACCATCCTTTTTTAGGACATGAAGAAGAAGCTTGAGTTACACGGAAGAAAGTGGAGGGTAATAGTTCGGTCTTTTTGATCCTCTTAGTGAAAGGACGAAGGTTACGTTTAAAGCGGTTGAAACGCTTTTTTGTTGCAACCGCAGAACGCCAGGGTTTACAGATGCTACGGATACGGAGAAGAACGGTGTTGGAAGATGAACGACTAGCGATTAAATCGACGAGTTCTTCAGGTAAATCAGTCCATTCGACTTTACCCATCTCGATCTCTATCTCTGTGTTGTTTTTTTTGTTTGTGAAACAATTTCAGAACAAAGCCCTAAGATTTAAGGAAACTGAATATATGAATTACAATCGAGACCTAATGTATATATAGACAAAATATATTCTGAATCTGATGAGTAGAGTTTCCTTTTTTTTCATGGAACCATGTTTCCTTTTATGAAAAGTTGATTCATATTTGATTCTACAAACTAGATTTTCAATAATAACACAAATTCAATATCAAAGTAGCTAAAATTAATTTCTTAACGGAATAAATAAAGTTTAAAGGGAAAAAATAACTCATTCATAATTTTTTTAATTGTTTTATAATAAACAAATATTTTGCACATAATATTTTGTGTTATTATTGGTAATTTAAACTACTGCTAGTATTTTTAAAACAAAAATTAAAAATGTACTATTTTAGGGTATCTCCTTCCTATTAAAAGAGAAGTACAATTAGTTAGAATGATTATTTGTTTTAATTTTATTGGCTCAAAACTATGACTTGTCATAGAAAAATTATAACATGTCTATAGAAAAAGATGACATGGCTTAATCTCTAATTACTCTTTTAACACAATTTTTATCAC